GTGGCCATGGCAGTGGCAGGACCCCTCTGGGACCCCCGTGATGGCCATGGCAGTGACAGGACCCTGTAAGACCCCCATGGTGGTCATGGCAGTGACAGGACCCCTCTCAGACCCCTGTGGTGGCCATGGCAGTGACAGGACCCCTCTGGGACCCCTGTGGTGGCCATGGCAGTGACAGGACCCCGTGGGACCCCCGTGGTGGCCATGGCAGTGACAGGACCCCTCTGGGACCTCCATGGTGGCCATGGCAGTGACAGGACCCTGTAGGACCCCCGTGGTGGCCATGGCGGTGACAGGACACCCGAAGACCCCCATGGTGGCCATGGCAGTGACAGGACCCTGTGGGACCCCCGTGGTGACCATGGCAGTGACAGGACCCTGTAGGACCCCCACGGTGGTCATGGCACTGACTGGACTCCTCTGGGACCCCCGTGGTGGCCATGGCAGTGATGGGACCCCTCTGGGACCCCCATGGTGGCCATGGTGGTGGCAGGACACCCCAAGACCCCCGTGGCGGCCATGGCAGTGGCAGGACCCTGGGGGACCCCCATGGTGGCCATGGAGGTGGTAGGACCACTCTGGGACCCCCACAGTGGCCATGGCAGTGACTGGACCCCTCTGGGACCCCCACGGTGACCATGGTGGTGATGGGACCCCTCTGGGACAACCATGGTGGCCATGGCGGTGGTAGGACCACTCTGGGACCCCCTTGGTGGCCATGGCGGTGACAGGACCCCTCTGGGACCCCCATGCTGGCCGTGGTGGTGGCAGGACACCCCAAGACCCCCGTGGTGGCCATGGCAGTGACAAGACCCCTCTGAGACCCCCACGGTGACCATGGCGGTGACAGGACCCTGTAGGACCCCCGTGGTGGCCATGGCAGTGACTGGACCCCTCTGGGACCCCCGTGGTGACCATGGCAGTGATGGGACCCCTCTGGGACCCCCGTGGTGACCATGGTGGTGATGGGACCCCTCTGGGACCCCCATGGTGGCCATGGCAGTGACAGGACCCTGTGGGACCCCCATGGTGGCCATGGCAGTGACAGGACCCCCCCAGCACCCCCATGGTGGCCATGGCAGTGACTGGACCCTGTAGGACACCCGTGGTGGCCATGGCAGTGACAGGACCCATCTGGGACAACCATGGTGGCCATGGCAGTGACAGGACCCCTCTGGGACAACCATGGTGGCCATGGCAGTGACTGGACCCCTCTGGGCCCCCCGTGGTGACCATGGCAGTGACAGGACCCCCACAGTGGCTGTGGGGGTGACAAGGGGGGTGCCAGTGCTCCCCATGGTGGCCATGGCAGTGACAGGACCCTGTAGGACTCCCGTGGTGGCCATGGTGGTGGCAGGACCCCTCTGGGACCCCAATGGTGACCATGGCAGTGACAGGACCCCCCCAGCACCCCCGTGGTGGCCATGGCAGTGACAGGACCCTGTAGGACCCCCATGGTGGCCATGGCGGTGACTGGACCCCTCTGGGACCCCCGTGGTGACCATGGCAATGACGGGACCCCTCTTTCCCCACGACCCCCCCCATCCCAACCCCGCTGTCCACGCCCTTCCCCCC